TCACTTAAATTATTTCATACTAATTTCTTTGTAAATATTTGAGTATATTGTTGTATGCATTTCCAGTGTATCGCGAAAAATCATGCAAATTATTGCTAATGAATTAATAATTAATACGAATTTGATATCAAGTAGCTAGCTAAAAAAGATTAAGCTATCAATTGCCATGAATTTGCTTGCAGCATTCAGTATGCAACATTTATTTTTCAAGGCTAAAACAAAAAAGTTAGTTTCGCTTATATATGAATACATTTTGATCAAAGTACTGATAATAAGATAATTATGTATTCAATTTTGCGTATTTGAATATTTTTAAAAACTTTTTTGCTCTCTCCTTCAAACTATGAAAACGTTTGCGCACTACAAAAACAGAATTAAAATATTTTAATTATTAATATTTAATTTGATATAATTAATTTAATGAAGCGAATTTTGAGTGAAAATAATAAATGAAGGAAACAATTGCCTCATTCAATTAGAAGCACAAAATTGAAACTTGTTGAATTAGTCAAAAAAGTTTAAAAATTTTAATCTACAAAATTTTCACTTTTTTAAATATTTATTTATTTTTTGAACTAACGGATTTACTGAAAAGCTATAATTAGTATATGCCAAAACATTTTTTATGAATTCTGAAGCTTTTATGCTTAAAGTTATTGCTATTATTTTTAAGCAAAACTATTAATTTTTTTAAATTTAAAAACTTTTTGGTTTTTAGATCTAACCAAAAATGGAATAAAATTGTGCAGTAATTACTTTTTCAGTCTGAGTAGTAAAGTTCAATGATTCAATTTTATATTATAAGCAATGTTTATTACTTATAATTTTCTTTTACATGCATTTCATTGCTGTATATTTTTTATTCTTACAAAGTTAATATCGAGCAGAATATGTTTAGACAAAAAATGAATCTCTTAATTAATTTTACTTATATTTTTAATTCATACACTTTATTAATCCAAATTACTGTAGACTGTTATTAATAGATGTGCGTTAACTTTAAATTTAAAAGTTGTTTGAAACTTCAAAAAAAATTTTCCAATTCGAATGCTTCAAAATTTTTGCTTATAGAGTTTAATAACCGGATTAATCTACAAGAAGCCGAAAGATCCGATTAAGTTTTTGGAAAATGCTATCGCGAAGATAAGGCAATATCCAAATTTTGAATACAAATGGAATTCGTTTGTTGACCAGGACTTACCTCTGCAGTTCGAAGGGCAGAAAAAGTCTGGTAAGTTTATTTTTCAACTTCATGGCACATATGGTGGACTGAAATTGGCTTTTCATACGTATAATTAATAGTAAGTATTCAATGTAAGATATAATTATTCAAATTTGAATTATTTTTTAATTTGAATAATTTCACAATTTTACAAAATTTATGGAGCAAAATTTGAATTATTTTTTTCAGTATTTGCTGTTTATTTATATTTTTAAGCACTAAAGTTACCAAATTTAGTGCATTAAAAGTAAATTCTTAAAATGAAATTATTCAGCTTCATAGATTCTTAAGCAGGCAATAATTTTGAATATCGTAGAAATCAATCACGCATTCTGAAATATAAGTCAACTTCTTACTTCTTGTCATATTTCTTACTTCTTAACTTACTTCGCTCATTAAGATTTTTCTGACTTTGTGAAAGCTTTGAATAAATGAGCGCTAATCATTCATGTCATACCTATTTTATGAATACAATAATTAGAAAAAGTCAATGCAATTTTTATCAGCAAAACAAAAATAGTTAATAACTTGAAGCGTTTTAGCAAACAAATTTTTTGAATAGCAACGAATTTCCATTATTTTTCGTATTTCTTATTTTAATTTTAAGTCAGTTTAACTTTTATACTAATTTTATTCAAGAAAATTCGTCTTAAAAATGAGCCAAGTATCCAATATGCAAATTATCAGGCTGACTAATAATCCAATTACTCCAATTCTAAAAAAGTTGGATGCTTCTACTAAAGCTGCAAAAAGTGTGACTATAAAAGAATGTATGTTTATCAGTTTTTTCGAAGCAAAAAAAATAACTCTAAAAAATTTTGGTATTAGTATGAATATGAATTTATGCACATTACTCAGTGATTGAGTAATATATATTACTCATTTGCTTAATGTTAATCTTTTATAATCTTATGGAATCACTTTTTTATGAATCTTTGTTGGACTGATACTAATATCTCTGATCTTTTTGTGACCTATGAAATAATAACATATTTTTTATTAATAATAACTGTTTGAATAGTCTAAACTAGAAATTTTCGCAAGGAAATAAACAAATTATGGCTTTTTATATAATTTTCGTTATCTTTGCATTATTTAAATATATTTTATTTAGTCATTATTAATATCTGCTACAATTCTCAATTAAAAATTATTAATAAACAATCAGTTTTTTATATATTTTGCGGTAATGACAGCCTTATGACATATAAGAATATTATTGAATAATATTAATTAATTAATTAGTAATAATAATAATCATAATAATAATCTACTAAGTATCTGTAAATTCGATGGTAATTTTTAGATTTGAAAGTTCCTTCTGTTGAAAAACCACAAAAAAAATCCGCGAAAACAAAAGCACACTCAAAATCTGGCAAGCATACTACAAGGTTAATTTTTATTTAGAAAAATAATTATAATATTTGAAATCTATTAAGTAATTTAATATTCGTTGCGGTCGTAATAAATAAGCAGCATCAATTATTTTGCATACAAATTTGTGATTTTTTTTTCAATTTTGATTAACTTTTGATATTTTTATCATTTTGCACTAATTTTTTCCAAAATATTTTCGATTTGAAATTTGTTTTTTTAGTTTAATTAATTTGCATCATATTATCTGATAACTTCTGTCTCAAAGTAAATTCACATATTTTGGGAATGTTTTGCTCGATTACGTGAAATTATTATTGTAAAAAATTTTGACGGATAAATTATTAATAAAAGTTATTTATTCGATTTTTGATTTTCCATGTATTATTTTTTGTAATAAGTAACAAGCTTCTGCAATCAAAAAATTAAATGTATTGAAAAAGTTTTATTTTTGAGCTAAAAATTATTATAATTCAATTTGTAATGCATAATTTCATTTTCTGTCATTGTCATCTGTGATACGTTCTTTTAAACTTAATGATAACAACATTTTTATCATTATCACTTTTTTGTCTTTCTTCTTATCATATCACTATTATCAGTTGTACAGTAATGACTACAACATTATCACTTCTTGTGTCTCTCTCCTTATCACATCGCTGTTATCATTTTAATTCTTGCCTGTATTATGTTTTTATTATTTGTTTTTCTTTAAGTTTTTTTCGTTTCTTTTTACTAATTATGCACATGTCTGACTTTTTTTTAAATAACAAATTGCAAACTTTATAGGATGAATTACTTTCTTCTTTCTGGATCTTACGCTCAGAATTCGTTTATATTACGATCAGATGTAATGTAGGAGAATTCTGATGGGAAGATCCAAAAGTCGTTACAATAATGCAAAGGCGTTACTTCAGACTTCCGTCACATAATAAGTCAACATCGGCAACTACTTCGGTTGCATCCAGAAAGTCCACTTCCGTCCCGAAAGTATCTTCTCCAATGCAAGCCTCAGATCCGTCACCTATACCTGATATTCCTATCATCTTATTTCTAGGTAAGTGTTTAAGCATTTCTTATTTTAGAAAGTTTGCTGACTTGGATGCTCAGACGCTTTTATATATGATCAAACTGCTTAAGTTGAATAACTTTTAACCAGTCAATTCACAATTTTCTAAGTTAGTCAAAATGATTCGGCCAGTCTTGAATAGAGCTTCTTAAAATTCCTGAAGATTTAGTCATGTATATAAATGGACTTTTTTACTTCAGGTGGTCCAGGAGGTGGAAAAACTCGGCATGCAGCTCGAGTTCAACAAGCTCTAAGCAAGTTCGGTCTAGTTCATGTTTGTATGCCTGATTTAATCCGAGCCGCTATTGCAAAGTATCGCAATATTGATTCAGAATGGATGGAAGCAGCTGAGCGATATTATCGAGGCTTTTAATTTCTACCTAATTTTTTTAATTTAATTAACCTAATTATTATATATCTACATAGTATTCAATAGCACAAATGTTGGATCTACGTTTTTTCACGTGTGTGTACATGTGTGTATATTTTGCAGCTCTAACAATCAGAAGTTTTGGCTGTGCAATAATCACAACAAAACAAATGAATTTGCTTGTAATAAAATAGCGCAAATAATCATGATAAAAGTATGATTGATTAAATAACGATGATAAAAGTGTGATTGATTAATTAAATATTATGTACTTCAGGTGAACTGATTCCAAATAATTTGGTACTTGAGTTGGTGAAAGCTGAAATGAATAAACACCAAGATGCGAAAGCATTCTTTCTCGAAGGTTTCCCACGTGAAGCACGTCAAGTGGAAGATTTTGAGCGTCAAGTAAGTGTTATCTGGAATGTAACACAGTAATACTTGATGTTAATTACATACAACATAATTTGATTTGCATTAGTAGTTTGATTAATTGTTTCTTTGTTTCAATATGCAAAAAAATGTAAATGCAAAATTCAGGTAAGGCCGGTAAACATGGCGATGATTCTTGACTATGATGAAGCAACATTACGAAAACACATGAAAGGTCGTGGATTAGGTACAGAAATTATTGATGCAAAAATCCGAGAATTCAAATTAAAAACATTACCAAGCGCCAAATATTTTGATGACCAACGATTGCTACACTTGGTGAGTTATTAATAATTAAATCTAAATATTTTAATGAATTACTAAATATGCTTAGAGGATTACTGGAGATAATATTTAAATAAATAACACATTTTAGCTTTTTGGATACTGCAATTATTTATTTCTGTAGGTTTAGCCAATTTTGCACAATATCATGTTATTTATTATTGTGAGTATTTGTAGATTCCTGGAGAGCAAACAGATCAGTGGATTTTTGAACGCATGAAATTATTAATTCAACGTGCAATGGAACTTGGGGTTCCAGTGACTACCTCTAAAGTAGCTTCAAGAGTAGCTTCGAGATCAGAATCACCTTTACAACGACCAGATGTGGTACTTTTAAATTATTCCATCTTAAAAATACTACAGTGTGAAATATTTTTATTGAAGACACTTACAAAAATTTTAATTGAAAGTATTTCTTTTTTAAAATTGTTAAATACGCCTAAAATAAAAAAATTATCAAAATTTCATTACAATTTATGTGATAACCTAATTATTGCTAAATTTCGGAAATGCTGCTAACTAATTAATTAATTAAATACCAAAATATAATTCATTTATACAATAATATCTACTGTATTTGACAAAACTTTAATTATACACTGAACTTATTGGTACAATATATGTTTGCTTAGAATATTTAAAATAGTTTTAATTTAAATAATTTTAAAAGCAAAACAAACTTGCCAAAATCTCGAAAGCATAATTTGCTAAAAAACTATTACACTGAGTAGAATCAAATTCAGACTAGGCTTTAACACTTTTCACTGAGTCCAAACTACATTTTCAATGCTGTCTAGGCCAGTTTTGATAGAATAAAGTGAAAATACATTTTTAAACATAATTGTTCTTTACGCAAAGGTCTGAAAATAATGCAAAATGATGTTTTTCGTTTTGCACGTTTATTATTAGACCATGACGAAAAGTTTTTATTTTCTGTTGTAAATTAGTGTTTGATATAAAACTACGAATTCTTGAGAATACTTTTGCAGTAAATTTAAGCATTTGTGGTTTTTGATTTATTCAAATTTTTTTCAATTTTAAATTTCGATTTTGTTTTTTAAACTTTATAGTCAACAAAATTTGCTATACCTTCACTGTTACATTAGTGCTATAGATTCACATATTTGAAGCTTTTGTATGAAGTAGTGCCATTTTAAGATTCTCATAATAACATAATACTACTGCTAGATAGATGTAAATACTAAAATATTGCTTAAAAATAATTTCATATTTTGATTAAATGTTTTTGAATTTAAATAAGTAGTTATTAATTGGATAAAGCGCTAAAAATTTTGAAGACTACAACGATGGCAGAAGCCGCGGCAATTGTAGAAGCTGCCGTTAAAGCTTCAGGGAACGGGTCACGGCCAGTAATGAAACGTCAAGAAAGCTGTGAATCTGGATTTAATGAGGAAAGCATTGAGAATAGGAAACCACCAACATCCGTGTCCAAAAAGTCATCATCATCATCATCAGAAACACTAGGTAAAGCTCATTAACTATTATCAGAATCAGTTTCAACTTCAGCTATAAAAAGTTATTAAGAATAATTCAAACTTATAACTGACAAAATATTACTATGATTATTTCTTTGCTCAAAAAAGAAAGTAAAAAGTGCAGTTGGCAATTTTATGTTATTTTGTGCATTTTGGCGCTATTTAATTTCTTTTACAATTTCAAATTTCAGCTATTTAATTTATTTTAAAATTTTTAAAAACTTGATATTGAATTTTACACTTGTAAAATGTTTTTTAAGGTATAAATATTTGTCTTTTTTTTAAATTTTAGCGAGAACAAAATCACTTTGTAAAAATTCCTCAAAAGGAAGTCTATCAAAAGATGGAAGTTCTTCTTCCAAAACAGTCAAGGTTAATATTTTTGCTTCAATTGCAAGCAGTCATTTTTGTACTTCACAACTTTTGATTAACAGTTTGTGCACATTTTTATTTTTTGAATTATTGCCATATTTTTTGCAAATTTTATTTATTTTATACAGAATTTTAGCTTTCAAAGTAAAAACTATGCTTTTATTTTGTTGATTTTTTGAAAATATTTTGATTTTTTTGAAATATTTTGATTTTTTTTCAAAAAACATATTTGAAATATTTGAGAAAAAATATTCGAATTTGTTATTGTTATTTCAATTATTAACAATAATTTACAAAATTTTTTTTCAAATTTAGACATTTAAGTTGTAAATTTTAATTAGGTTTCTAAATTTAAAATACTGAATTACTGTATAGATCATTTTTGAATTTTTTAAGGAAAAAGGGTCAAATCTTAGTATTGAAAAACTTACTTCTGATGAGATATTACCAAAATGTATTGCTGATATGGAAGTGCGTGAAATACCACAACTTTCTTCCTCTGTAGTAGGTCAATTTTTGTAAATATTTGTAGCTACAATATGTAAATAAAGAAAGCAAGCAGTAGAAAACTTAAAAAATTTGGAAGTCAAGGTTCAAAATGTCAAAAGTTCAAATAGTGAAAATGTTGGGAGAAACTGATTTTGTGTTCTCAAAAAATTTATTCAATTTCAGAAACTGTACCTAATATATCTCCAATGTTTACAACACCAATTACGATGAAGAAAACAGATTTGAAAAAAGCGACTTCTGTTCAGTCATCTCGAAGATCAAGTATTTAATTTCCAATTACTTTTATATGTTCTCCCCATTTTCAAATCAAATTTGCTTAAATTTACGTACTATTTACTAATTAATAACTTTAGTTTGCTAAAAACTTATTCCCGCTCTAAATTTTTATAAAAATTTTTCGATATTATTATTATTTTTTTGTACAAATTTTTGTTTTTATAAATTATCTCACATTGTTTTTAATACTTTTTACAGGTAAGTCAAGTGACAAAAAGCCATCATCATCAAAGTTAACTAAAACAAGTTCACAAGTTTCCAGAGCATCACAAATATCACGTAAATCTTCAAGTACTCTCAGAAGTGAAAGTCGTTGCAGTTCCAATTCAAGAGATAAAAGTATATTTTTTATCCCTATAATTTATACTGTCATTTTTCTTTGTTTTTTTTTCAGCTAAATTTTCTGAACTTTATCTTTGTTAATTTGCATATTTTATTTCAGTGCATAACAGACAGTGCATTTTTTGAATAAGATGCAAAAATTTGCATATTTATTGTCTGTTCTATTCTGTGATTATTTCAACCAAAATAATTTCATTTAAACGCCATAAAAGGTTGACAAGGAGAATCGTGCGGTTGGGATTTTCATTTAATATGCTTTAGTGTCGGAGAATCGCATATATTACAGTCCAAATTTATTTCACGCTCGTTTAACTCAAAATAATTTCATTTCTCTTTCATATTATAAAAGTAAAGTAAAGTTTAATTGAAATATTGAACAATTTTTAGTAAGAAAACTTCGATTAATCTATATGAGATTATTTAAAATCACCATTATATATATATATTTAATTCAGATACATTTGTTGTCTTATATTTTTCAAAGTTGATAAAAATTTACATAAAATGTCAAATTTTTTGAGGATTTGTATCGATTTTGATAAAATTAAAATTGATTATTAATTTTAATATTTTTACAGGCCGAATGTCAATTGATAGCAAAAAAGTTAGCGATGAGCGAAACAATTTGGACAAAACCCAAGGTAGCAAGGAAAGCTCAGATGAGATCAAAATGGATACAACTCTTGAGAATGAGGAAAATGATTCAGAAGAAACCCAGGGTAGCAATGAGAAATCAGATCAGAGAAAGCTGGATACTATTTCTGAGAACAAAAAAACGGAAACTAATGCAGACTCCGATGAAGGTATGATTCTTACTCAACAAGCAAAATAGTACATAGTCTAGAACTGAATTCTTCTATAGCTATTCCTTAAGTAGCTAAAGTCATCATAGAATGAAATTTAAATTCAAAGTCAATTTTTTAGTTCAGAAAATTAATTTTTTCAATTTATAAATTATTAATTCACAAACAGTTAATTATCAAAGTATTGGTACTGTAATTATGCAACTTTTTACTTTCTTTCAATATTTACTTTTTAATTTTATGAAATAAACCAGTAATAATAAAATAGCGCTTTTTTCAGTTCTTCTAGCAAATGAACAGTCAGGTACGCCAAAATTAAACAGTTCTGCAGTGATTGACCGCTTCCCTCGTGGTTTAACAAACGATGCAATAATTGTTCTGGTTGTTGGTAAGCACAAATTCCAATAATTTATCCCTATTATTATTATTATTATTTAAAATCAAGCTTTTTAAATGCTCAATACTGTGCAACGAAAATTTGCATTTTTTAATGAATAAGTACACTAAATGATTAGCCTTAAACTAACGCTGCATCATACAAATTCATAATTTGCATAAAGTTAAAAAGCACTGCTCTAAAAGCTTGAAAATAGAACACGTGAAAGATTCAGTCATAAAGCAAGCTTTTTTAGGTCCGCCAGGATCGAACAAAGCAAAAATCTCGAATCGTTTGGCCAAGAGATATAATAATTTCAAATATATTAGCATGGCAGATCTAATAAGGGACCAAATTAAGGCTAGCTCTGAGGATGAGCTATGGCAAAGAATCCAAAAAAAAATGGATAATGGTGAACCGGTTCCAACGGTAATTGCTAGTACAAAAATATAATAATTTTTATTATTCAAAGTTTAAAACTGTTATTTTTATTAGAATAATAAAATTTTTGCCACGTATTAAATTACAAAATTCTAAAATAGATGATTATTTTTATTTGTTGCAAACATTTCCAATACATTCGTCAACTTGACAAACTGAAGTTTTCTTTTAAAAAAAGTTTGTTTTTTAGATAATTGAATTCTTCTAAAAATTATTAATCTTTTTTTGTGTAGAAAATATGTCGGGAACTGCTTTATTCGCAAATATATGATGCAAGTAATGATAAAATATCGGGATATATCATCGAAGGATATCCACGGACGGAAAGTCAAGCAGAAGATTTTCATATCCAGGCAAGCTAATCAGATAGCTAATCAGTCATTTCTTTGTTTTTTGTTATACTTGAAATAATAAATTTTTGACCCTTTAAGGAATACATAAAGTTAAATCCATAAAGTTTTCAAAGTAAATTTTAAGTATTTTTCAATTCAATATAGTACAATTCACTAATAAATTGTTACAAATTTTACTAACACTTTTTAAAATATTAAAATTAAGTTATTAAGAATTGCTTTTATTGTAGAGTAATGCACAAAGTTTTATTAAAATATAAAATTCTGTATTTCAGATCTGTCGTCTTGACTTGGTAATATTAATAGATTGCACAGAAGAATTTTGTATTGAAAATATTAAAAAGCAGCAGGAAGAAAGCAATGAAATAAAAGCAAGTAAGCTAATATTTGAATAGTTTTCCTTGCTAAACAAACAACTTGTATTGCAGTAAATTATTTTATTAAAATTTTACTTAAAAAAATAATATTTAAATTTTGAAGGTAACAATCCGAAAGCATTGAATAATCGCTTGGAACGATTCAAGAAAAGCACATTACCAATGCTTAAACATTACGATGACATGGGAAAACTTAAAGTGGTATGTGTTGGCAAGGTTTGCTTTCTTCAGAAATGCATCACTATTACTTATTTACTCAAATTCATTACTTAAATACACTCTTTTCAGAAGCAGTCAGTAATGCTAAAAATATTTAACTCAAAAAGAGCTAAACATGAAAAAATTTATTTAAGTAATTCATATTTATTTATCCTTCAGAATTAAACATTTTGCATGAAAGATGACAAAAATTTACTCAAAAAAGGAAAAATATTGCTATTTACATAGAAATTCGATTATTTATTTAGCGATGAATATAAAATAGCTTACAAATTTTACTAATTAATAATAATAATAATAAATAAATAAGAATTAAATTTGCCTAGATTGATGGAGATGGTGAGCTGGAAAAAGTTTTTGAAGCAGTTGTAACAGAACTTGAGAGCACTCTCTCCATCAGTTGTAAGCATTAACTTAATAAATAAATTTGCAAATATCTAAAATTCAAAATATGAAAATTCAAGTAATCCATTTTAGTCCATTTTTTATTCATAAACTAATGCAATGTAAATTTTCCAAAATTACATGCTCAATTTGTAAATGTAAATACCTTACAATTTATTTATTGACAGCAAGTGGATAAGAAAAGCTCTCATCACCATCGATATCACAAGTACGGCCATACATAGTATCATATCAGGGAATAAATATTGCTTACTTTTCTGTTTTTATTTATATGTGATTATTAAATATAGCGATAATTCTAATTATGCATAAATAATATTAATTTGTATGAATTGGAGGTTTTTTATTACTGAATAAAATTTCAATAATGTAAAATTTTATTACTGCTGCAAGGAGCACATGTTTTGGAAATTGTAAAGATTCTTACACTAATGAAAAACAGTTCGAAATGATATCAACTTTCAGCACGAATGCAATTTCATGAAATTTGCATGCAATTAAGTTGCAACAATTACAGTAATAATAATGATAGTAATAACAACAATAATAACAATAATAATAATAAAATAATAATAATCGCATTAGCGATAGTAATAATACGTTTGAAAAAGAGCAGGGGAATGGTGGATAACAAGGAGAAAAGCTATGCTTGAAAATTATTTTCAGTGTATTAAATAAATTTGAATAAAAGCTCGCAATTATTTTGATATATGACCTTAATAGGACAAGACAATAATTCCAGAAATGCCAAAAGAGCAAAATATTAATTAGTAATAAAAATGAATTCAGTGGAATGCATACTCGAATTAGCCTCAGCAAGAAATACACGAATTACATACTCGAATTAGCCTCAGCAAGAAATACACGAATTACTGAATTAATTTGAGAATGAAATTCAAATTTTTAAACCAAAATATTCTATGCAAACAATAATAATAAAACTGGAAAGTGAATAACAAAATTTGAAAAATTGTTTAGAATCAAAATGGAATCGTATTGAACTCGCGCAGGACAAGAAATGCATTGTTTTTAAAAAGACATAACGATTTCAAGTACTTGAATTTCAGTAATAAATTCAATTCTTAAATTTTTCATTAAAAAACTGAAAAAGCAAATAAGATTATATTCTTGAAAAAAGCAAAACGAGTAATTTAGAAAAATATTTTAAAAATTAGTACCATCGATTTCCAAATGAAATCCAAGCATAATATTTACAATAAATTTAACTTCTTCACCACCTTGCATTCATTTCTCGAGAAAAAGTAAAGTAATTAGCAGCCAAAAGTATGTGACATATTTTTATTCATGCATACACTTAATCGAAAAATAACAAATAAAGCACTTGTAAAACTAATTGGGCAATGTTAATTTAATATTGTAAAAAATCAAACTTCTGTAGGACTAATCTGCCTTGATGGTGATCCTGGACTACCACAATCATTTCCCGTGGCATTATTATTCGGTTGTTGCGCGACACGTGCACGTACCAAAGAACGGATAGGCAAAGTACCGTCAATAAAATCTTCTATCACCGGAGCACTCTCACTACCGGATCCCGAAAGCGACGAACAAACCATTTGACTTGGCAAAGGCGGCGCACTTCTTGGTGTATAGTATGGCTGAATTAATAATTCAAGTTTTATTTTAGACAAAATTAGATTAAAGTTTACAGTATAAAGTGTAAGTGCTAAATTTGCATACAGTCTTTAGGAATGAATGAGAAATTAAATGAATGTCTAAAAAAACGGCTTTAGGTTCTTAAAAAGTTCGTATTAAATATATTACAAATTACTTACTTATTTACCTTCAAAATATAGTCCAGAAAGGGAATTCGTATTTTAAATGAACAAATTATTAAATATTCGAGTGAGCTCAACGAAATATACACGTAAGTGAGATAATTATTAGCATATTAGACATGCTTGTAAGTAAATGCTAACCTTAATGTTTTTCTCATAATTTCCGTAGTAATTTTTATTCACTTTTGTAGAAGGTAAAAGTGGCTTTTCCATAGAAGATTCACTTGAAGATTGCTTACTTTCGCTTGCCTCAGACTTAAAAATATGAAAAATAAATGAGCAAATCACGTCCTTAATAAAATCTGTTACTTAATTCAGTGCGTAAAATACAAAAAAATTGTCGGCGTTACGATAAATTTTTATGATCAGTTAACAATATACCTCATCAACAAAAATTTTGATCAATTCATTGACGAGATCTCGAGATACCCTTGCACTCACGTGTTCGCTTATGAACTTCAGAAGTAGTACTCCATCTGGATGGAGGAATTCTTCGACAAAACGTTTACCATCATCACGTTTGATTTGTAACGACTAGACATAAAAAAATTATGAGTCATATTTATTTTCTATCGTTTTATGCTCAGAAATGAATAATTCACTTTTGATAATGTTATCAACTTCTGCTGAAATCAATAATTCAATAGTATTTGTAATAATAGTAATATCATGATTATTTATTTTTTTTAATATTACTGTTATTTTTTATAAACTATATTATTGCAAAAACAGCAAATCATTATGAATTATTATTCGTTTTAATTTACGATTTTAAATTATATGAGTAGAATTTCTGAAATTATTATTACTTAAATGTTAATTTTGTAGTGAAAAATCAAAATTTCAAATGTTTAAGTTCGAGGAAAAGTATTCTTTCTTCGAAAATAGTTTGTGGTCAAAAGTTTAATATCCATAATGTTTTCATGATTACATTTTGAACTGTTCTTACTTAATTCAGAATTATGACAAAAAAGTTTTAAAAAAATAATAATTTATATTTTTCAAAGAGTAATGGAATAATCTTCGACAAGTAAAAAAGAGGGAGAAACTTATTAATAAAATTAATTAATTAATTAATTACATACTTCCCATTTACGACGATTAACATTCCATAATATTAGTCTTGCTCGAGCCCGTGGTACTGACATGACAACTAGGTAATAGAAGAAATTCAGCAAAGTACAAATACCAACGAAAATAAACCAAAACATAAGAAATAAGTAAAATTTTTCGTTAATCATATTCATCATAATCACGCACTGTACTGTGTGACGTTGGAGGTTACCCAATCGACGTACCTGAAAAAGTAAGTAAAATTGAGGTGGCGTAGAACAAACGTTTATCTTATATATTTTTTACAATACAAGTAATTATAATGAAATTTAGTTTATCTTTCAAACTATAAATAGTAATAAAATAAACAAAATAAATTCTGATAACTACAAAAATTTACAGTTAACGAATGAATGTTATAACCTGAAAATCACACATAATAACACGTGGGAATATTGTTGATTCGGTCCATTCCTTTCCAGCAATTACATCGGTAACTGTCTGCAAAATTGCATCAAAATTAAACAGCTAATTTTCTGTCAACATATTTTAGATTTTTTAAAATAACAGCAAATTCTTTAATTTAGAAGTTTAGAGTTAATGTACAATAGTATCTTAACCAAACTATACAGAAATAAGTCACAGTACGCATATGGCACTTGAATGTTTCAGAAAGCAAACAATAATAATCAGTTTTCCAAAATTAGAAATTTGAATGAAATTTGAAATGGACAAAAATTTATGACTCTTTCAGATGAGCTAAATTGGAACTAACTAATAACTTATCAATCTTGAAGAGTGAAATTTTATATTTCGAAGTAGAATTCTACTAAAAAGTGAGTTTTAACAGGGATCAGAAATAAGTCATATCACTCTTTGCCTACAATAAGTCAAGTCAAAACTTTAATCCCAAAATTCTATCAAAAAAAGCAGTGATAAGCGACTGTTTTATCATTTAAAATTTCAATCGTCAAAAATTTTCACCCAAAATCCCGGGATTTCCCTATATTTGAAAACTTGAAATCTAGGGAAGAAATAAAAAAGCTGTTCACTGTTGCAAATTTCAAAGTTGTTCACCAAAACAAAACTGAATCTCAAAATTTTCACTACAAAAATAAACTGATAAAAATATCAGCTTGTCTTCTTGATGGTATTAATTTGGCAACGTCAATACTGTAATAAAAAATTACTTGAAAACCCCAATGCAAGTAACCACCACCAAAGAAATGATTCAGCATAACCAGTTGTCCGACAATGTTCAACAAATAAAAAAATTTAGTCAACAAATATAAAATGGTTGCGTTACGACCTGACCATGTTGACCCCTGAAATTTTAAAACATTTGTAGTCTAATATCGAAGTGATTATTAATTTAATATCAAAGTGGTTATTAATTTGATATCAAAGTAATTCATCCTTCTTAATAAAAGGTCTAAATTTTGATTTAAAAATAACAATGCAAAAATCTGACCTTCGTTTGACCCTCATTTGGGCTAAAAATTGAAATTGTATCTTTGATATATTTTGCTAAATTTTGAATTTCCAGTTCACGATTTTTGCCATGTAAGGTAGAACATTTCTTTGCTTCCTTTACTATTCCTTGGGGTTGTATCGCTGACAATAAAGTATTACTTTAAGCTAGGGAATTAGCAGATAGAAGTAATAGTATTTTGGAGACAAAATATATTTCAAAAATGACCAAAATAATTATAAGTATGTAAATTAAGCTAAGCATACCCGTTTCTTTGTAAATAATATTCCAAAAATAGTTAGGGGCAAAGAACATAAGCGCTTGCAACGCCAACATTATCGGTACCCACTAAAATACAGTAAATTAAATTTATCAAATTAATTTAATTAAGTTAATAATATGTAATTCTAGTAAGGTCATTTATTCAAATTTTTTAAAATTATATAGAATATATGTTTATGACAATCAATTATTCAGTTCTTTTCTGAGGTCAGCTATTTTTTTTTGGAAATGATTGATAAAAGAGCATCGGTCATTTGATTCATTTCAGATTTTTTTTCAAAATAATTTCTCAAAGTGGAAATACTTGAAATTGTTGATCAAACTTAATACTAAGTAATTTGATCTTACTCGATAATAACTGATCTGATCTCTGCGGTCATCCCATTCTTCTGGTAGTTGTTTTTCAAATGGTATGTAATAAGAGTTTTGAATAAAGCAGTAATCTTCAGTATATTTTTCCCAACCACCTTTATAAAAAAAGATTGTTAATAAAAAATATCAAAAAATGTTTTTTTTTCCGCCAAAAATTTATAAACTTTATCAAATTCTTCCAATTTTTTAAATATTCTTGAATAACTTTTAATTTTTTATAAGCAAACTGAGAAACGTTATATAATTTGATTACATAAATAAGAAATTTGACCTCTGAACTCCATAGGTACCCAACATTGGATGGGTGAGCCAAAATATTGCTTAGCTGAGATGGCTAATGATGCCATTGCAAGAAGTAACGAAGTAGCATAATAGTTCAAGAAATCTACTCGATCAGCGACTACTTGGGGCTTCACTACTTTATGAATATAATCTGAGATTAGTGGAATGCCCAGCATTGTGATGAGTTATCTGCAAAGCTCACAATTACATAATATTTAACAAATTAAAAGTTAAACAATTCCAAACGAATATAAAAACCCAAGATGTATTTCTCTGTTGCAAAATTAGCTATTTAAATTTTAATACTATTATTTAATGTTATTAAATTTTAATCAGTTTTGCGCATAAAAAACTAATTTTTCATATATAAAAAATTCAAAAACATTTTTTCTGCATGCTAAGAATATAAAATTAATTTTACAACAAAAATGATTACTTTGATGAAAGTAAACTTTTCGGGTTAATAAATGTCACAAGATTTTTTGAATTTGTCAGTGAGATTGTTCACTTACTTACATACTTACTTACTCACTTACTCACTTACTAACTTACTCACTTACTCACTTACTTACATACTTACTTACTTACTTACTTAGCTGTAGAAGCAAAGTAGCTATTATTCATACTTACTTACTTACTTACTTACCTGTAGAAGCAAAGTAGCTATTATTTAAATGGAAAAAATATTAGCAAATAATGTTAGCTAAACTTTCTGAAAAAAAATAAGTAAAATTAAACAAAAATTTTTTTATATCGCAACTGCCAGAGTTACAATTGAATCGAGAAACTGAAAACTTTAAAACCAGTCTGCAAGATTACAAAGTACAATAGAACAAGCATAAATATTAGTATATCTATTAATTATATTATTAAAAGTTAGCATATCAGTTAAGACTGGTAGTATTCCTAAAATTGAAAACTGATCTAAACGTGCAAATTTTTGATCTTTAATTTTCTTTTATAGTTCATTATCACTGCACAAAATTATTGTTGACTTTTGTACACAAAACTTTTTTATTTCCTAAAATTATCACATAATATTCATCAGATTTGACTATATTATCTATGAATTCATTCATAAAAAGTTATAAAAAATTACAGTAAGAAAGTTTTTTAAAAATAAAACATAAATTATCATTTTTGTAATATACCTACAGTTCACACATTCAAAGCTATTAATTCATTTTAAAAAGTAACTCAAATAAAAATTATTATTTTAATTCATTTTAGAGAGAGATTATTATTTTTGTTAGTTTTAAAAACTTCAGCATTTTTTTGGTCAAATCAATTAGTGACCAAATATAAGTAAAAGAAATAGTGGTTTTATCAAATAGCATTTTTAATTCTCAAATATATTTTAAATTATTATTTTTTATGCAAAATTAGCGAAATGATAAAATATAAGCAAATTAGCTCAACCATTTATTCACTCATTTATCACTTAATCACAAGCACTTAATAATGATAACAGGCAAATTTGAATAATACTAAACTTATTAGCAAGCATTAGCTTAACAAATTGACATAAAACAAGTTTGAAAAATATTAATAATAAATTAAAATTCTTTCAAAAATAAGTAATAAGTAGCAATTATGATAATCAGATTAACAAAAATCGCACAGGCTGATCTTAAATAACTCGAATTACTCAAAAACAGAAAAATTAAAGTTTTGAGAATTATTCACCAATAAAAATAATCAAATCGATAATAACTGAGATAAATGGTATTTAACGCCAAATGCAACATACCACTCGTCCGTCTATTTGACCAATGCAATCAATGACTACTCCAAGCTGACCTTTGGATTATGTGACCTTCGATCGATTTCTGTCCCCTCGTCAAATGAATAAATAGAATAATGATAGGAAGGAAGATATATGGTTTCTGATGAAGGAAGTAAATCAATGCAAGTAGTCGGTAAAAACTACATTATGCTATGTATTCATATATTTATATTAACAATATTTCTGAAGGTCATAGGTGAATACTAATTAGCTGCTAATAAAGAAATAAAAAACGCTCTTTTTTTACAATAATTCGAAATATTTTTGATTTGTAAAGTGTACAAAATACAAAAGTATTGCTACTTTTTACAATATTCTAAGATCGAACCATTGCAAAAAAGTGCTTGCTTACTTGTAATAAATGCATTATAAAGCACTAAAGTTGAAAAACGATAAAATAAGCATTGAGTCATTTTTTGCTTCTTTTTATTCTGTTAAACACACCGAAATACTGTCTGCTTTCTTTTTAAAATATTTGAATCGTTTATTATTAATAATTTAATTATTATTTTTTATGTTATCCGTGCAATTATCATTGTTATCTATAATAACTGCTTCAAACTCATAGCTAATTGATGAGAAATTTAAATTAGCAAATTCAAATTTAACCTCTTAGGCACTTTGAGCAGCTTAATATAAGTAAGTAATTACTCTAATTATTTCAATCTTTAAGTTATTAATTCAAAGCACTACAACATTTCTTTTAATGACTGAAACAACTGTGACGGTATTTTTAACAATTATCAGAAAGATAAGATAATTTATATCAAAGAGAGCAAGTTGTGTTGAATAAATATTTAAAAATGGAATCAAATTTTTTGAAAAGTAATCAAAACTTTAAGAGAATGCTAAATAGATGGAAGGCAGTGAATGATTAGATAGGTTGAGTAAGTAGGAAAGGTCTGCAAGTATTAAAGAGTTTGACCTTCGACCTCATACTTTTGGTCTGGAATCTCTCACAACTACACAGTCTTCCTTATGTCAAAATTACCTCAAAATGCGGAAAAGAGAAACGATCAAAGGTTAAAATGTCGTAGTACAGTAATGACTGCAAATGTTTTATGGCAAATATTTGGTCAGAGGGCGGTTTAGGGCTAATATTTAATTGAACTCAGACTTTACTCTCGATTTGATTATTTAGACTTAGAGCTCATTAATTGTTCTGCTTATTTGACCTTTTAGTTGATTCATTTACTGGATTTGATTCGAAATTAAAAAGCGAAATTGATTTGTTGTCATAATAAGTAATTAATTCATTTTCTTCAAATCATTCAAAAATTTTTTACTAATTATTTTATAAATATATCTATCGTAATTTTTTTTTAATTTAATTAGTGTATCAGCTTATTTTTGTTTTATACTGAAACAATTATTTATTACTTACTTCAGTTATTCATTATTTGTATACGTTTTATTTGTACAAATTATAATTGTTCACTACTTTAGTATGGAAATAAATATAACTACACTAAATATAATTTTATTTCAAGTATTACAATATTACGATCATATTATTGTAAATTATTGTGCAGTGTGATTTTTGTATCAGATTTAAAAGATAATAATTATCTGATTTTATGATGTTTGTGAGACTAACTTTTGAGTTAATTTGTATTTGTGAACAACAGAAGAAATTTTGCATTTTCCATTTGATTTTTCACTCGTACATGAGGCTTTTTAAAGGTTAAAGGTTGATAATTACTTTAAAAGTGAAAATATTGTCGAGTTATTGCCTAAATTTGCTGCCAATTTTATTGCTTTTCTCTGATTTTTCAAGTTTTCAAAGCACACAATAAAATGCAAATTTTATTAGCAAGCATTTAATTTGGTCTCATCTTATCATATCATATCATATCATATCATATCATATCAAAAAGTTATCACCAAACTTATCTCTTAGCAGTCAAAATATGCCGAGTTGTAGAAGGTTGGTATGGAATAAATTATTCACATCATCGCAGTATTTTGATTAAATCGTTTACCAGGCCGAAATCCTCGTCCTGATATCATTGCAGCTGAACGAGACGATAATGGGTACTAAAATTTTTGATAATAATTATTCGCATTTTGATTTTTATGCTCAATAAATATTAATATTAATACTTGACTTTCAGAGTTTTGTTAATCACTAAAAATATTTTTGAACTGGATTAATATGCTCTACTTTAACCTTTCATTTTTTTGATTTATAATATTTTATAGGTTGCAGCATTATTGAATTTGTAAAATATTTCATATTTGAACCGAAAGTTGATTTGTCAAAAATCTCAAATTTTAAAATGTCTTCGAATATTTTATTATTTAATGAAACTTACAGCAAAACTATCGTAATCCTCATTATTAATTAATATTGGTGATCTGATTGACCGAAAATATGGTACTTCATTTGTACCACAAGGAGTTCGCTGAAATTAAAATTCAACAAATATTTTTAGTCTTTTAAAGACTGATCAGTCTGGAATATACCTTTAATTAGCATTTTATTGAGCTACAGTATAGTTAATATAAATACCTTGCTTTATCAAATTCAGTATTTGAGTACAACTGTTGATTTTTTGAAGGTTTTTTTTTTTCAAAAATGTCATTATTGTTCTATTTTGGCAGAAATTAGTCTTCAATTCGTTGAAGACATAATAGGAAATTTATTTTTGAGCACAATAACTTTGATTATTCATTTATTGAAATTTTTATTGCAATTTGAAACGTAAAGAAATACTTCATTATCTACTTTGTTTTCAGATAGCCTCGAAAAGTTCGGATAGTATAGATTAGCTATAACACGATCTGTCCAAAAACAGCTGCAAATGAGATAGATTATTTGCCAATGCAACAACTGACTTCTAACCATCGCTTCTGAAAATTTGAATTTTCGATATTGTATTGACTTAATTTTACGTTATTAGACACGCATCTGAAAATGTCAGCAACAAAATTACAAACTGACATGTTCAATTCTGATTTTAAGACGTACTTTTTAGCTTTCCCTCAGTATATTTCAACCAATTTTGGCATTACTAAACAGACAAGTCGAAAAATTTAGCATATTTATGACTGGTTATAAGTTTACAAAGTTTTAGCTTTTCAGTAATTTTGTAAAATAATTTTATGGTATTAAGCATTTTGACTATCATTTACAATATCAAACGGTCACGTGAAAATCAAATCAAAATATTTGCAAGCTAACATATTTATTCAAACTTGAATTCAGTACAGTTGAAAGGCTGAATTTACTGAATTGCTAACAAAATAACAGTAAGTAAAAATAACTTTAAGTGAAAATCGAAATGAACCAAAACAAATCTGAGAAGTCAAATTAAAATTCATTCTGTTGCCAAGCAAAAATGAAAGACTAAAATATTTTAAAAAATGATTTTACAAGTGTCAAAAGGCTTAAATAGGGTAAGCAAAGCTAAAACCTTTTCAATAACAAATTACTCAATTTTGCAAAATTATCCAGTTGTTATTTGAACATTTTATTTGAGAAAGTAATTAGCATATTATTCATTAAATAAGTTTTATGCATAATTTTGATGCCTTTGCAAATTAATGCTTTTGTTTTTATTTGCACTTTTCTGATGCTTTAATGATGGCATTTCATACAGAATCTTTGCAAATAAGCATAATTTTAAATTTGATTGTGTCAAATTTTGTTTTCAACTTGGAATTTTAAATTATACAAAAAGCTTTTTTTGTATATTTTAAATTTTAAAAATATAATAATAAAAATAATAAAGATAAGTTGCATAATTGCATTTATTAGATGAATCTTACTTATACCATTATTATTATTATGTCCAGTTGTATTCAGCAATTTTTGGTAAATAACGTCAAGTTGTTTTAAATTAACGAAAAATATTATTAAAAAAAATATATATCAATAATATGAAATACAACTGGATATCATGATAATAATCAGTGGGATATGTAAGATTTATCTAATAAATGCAGTTGTATAAATTATTTCTTTTGAATAAAAATAAGCAAAAATATATTAAACTTGGAATGTTATGTAAATAACTTCAACAATTATAAGACCTTTAAAAAATTTATGCAAAAATTAATCAATTTGTGTATTGAAATGTCTAAAAATTGAGTGAAAAAAGCAAAGGGATTGAATTTTAGCAATTATTAAGGTACAAAATTAGCTGAATTTGAACGAATAAGCAAATATGCTTTAATAAAATTTCAGATTATTGCTGCAAAATAGTATAAATGTGAGTTCTTTTGGGTATTAATAACTTATTACAAATTTACTTTGCTTATCAGGAAAGTATGTAATGAAAGCTTAAAGTGATTAGTCACAGTTCTCTGAAAATGACCAATTTTTGAAATTAATAATTATTAGACATTAATTAACAATCGATAGAAATCAAACAGTTTTTGCTTATTTAATTAATTTTTTCTAAATAAGTTTGATTTTCGTAAAGTAAAGTCTAGGTAACTTCAATTTCACTTCAGCACATTAATAATCGCAGTAATTTTTTCATTTGTAAAAATTACAAATAATAACAGTTTGCTTTAAAAACATGCAAAAATTAGATAGTTTGGAATGTAAATCCATTTTTTGCATAATAATTGATTATTCCATAAATTCAAATTACAATAGTAATAATAATATTTGTTGTAAAATGAGTCATTTTCTAAAACTAAATTATTTATACCTCTAATCAAGTTTGCGACCGTCGCGCGTCACGTTTATTTCTTATATCGAATTGCTTTACGTGAAATTGCTACTGTAACGATTATTCTTTCTTGAACTTTGACATGGAAGAAGAAGGACGGAAAAAAATAACAGTAATTGGCTCTGGCAATTGGGGCTCAGCAATTTCATTAATTATTGGAAACAATACAAATAATTACAAAGATATATTTGAATCACAAGTCCGTATGTGGGTTCATGAAGAACTAATAGATGGTAGAAAACTGACGGAAATTATTAATACTAAGCATGAAAATATCAAATATTTACCAGGAAAAAAATTACCTGATAATGTGATAGCAATTGCTGACTTGTTAGCTGCATGTCATGATGCTGATATACTTGTTTTTGTTATACCTCATCAATTTGTAGAAAATGTATGCAAACAGTTGAAAGGTCAGCTAAAAAAAAATGTTTTAGCAGTTTCACTTATTAAAGGATTTTTGATCGAACGAACTGATGGTACAGTTAAGTTAATAACAGAAAAAATTCAAGAAATACTTGGAATCAGTACAGCTGTTCTAATGGGTGCTAATTTAGCTTCAGAAGTAGCAAATAATCAGTTTTGTGAAGCTACTCTTGGCTGTAAGCAGTTCAAGAATCAATGGCCAATGTTGAAAAAATTATTCGAAAGCGATACATTTCGAATTAATTTAACAGAAGATGCAAATACCGTTGAACTTTGTGGTGTATTAAAAAATGTTGTAGCATGTGCTGCAGGTTTTGCTGATGGTTTAGGTTACGGTTATAATACAAAAGCAGCAATCATACGATTAGGATTTATAGAAATTATTTTATTTGTTGAACTCTTTTATCGTGGATCAGATATCCGTACATTTTTTGAGAGTTGTGGAATTGCTGATCTAATCGCAACATGTAATGGTGGTCGCAATCGAAAAATATGCGAAGCTTTTATCAAAACTAATAAAACAGTTCGAGAATTGGAAATAGAATTACTTAATGGTCAGCGAGTTGAAGGACCACCAACTGCTGAAGCCATCTGTGTTATACTTAAAAAGCGTAATATGTTAATGAGATTTCCGCTATTTGCAGCAGTAGATGAAATTTTTAGACAAAAACTTCCACCTCAACTTTTGGCAACTCGACTTCGAGAATGTAAAGGATTTTTACCAAATTACTGGATCAATACTAATATTCAATGACTTGTTCATCTGAATACAAATATTGAGCTTTTTAAAAAAGCATATTTTAAATCTTGACTAGAACTAATTCAAGAGTCTGTCTGATTCTTTTGTGATCATATCAAAATACAAAGTAGGATATTAAATGTGTGCACTTATTTTAAATTTGGCCTTTAACCTCGTTTACCTTAAATTTTTTACGATTAAACGCGAAAATAGAACTTAAAAAATTCTTGCAACGATTCTTGATACAGAATTATCACTTGAAGTTTATCAATTAATCAATTTCAAAAATGTTAATTTATCTTTAACTGCTTAATTATTCTTATTGCAATGTAAATTTTGAGTGAATGTTAAACTAATTGCATATTTTGATCTGGTTTTCAATCATCACACTATTGAATACACCAAAGCTTGCTATTGCAGTAAGTGCCATTTCAAATGTAATATGAATTTTGTGATTCACAAAATACTCGTATATATTAATAAAATTCTGCAAGCATTACAAAAACTTTGAAAAAATTTGTGATTTAGCAATTTCTGAAGGAAAACTGAACTCATTTTTGCAGCAATTTCTGAAGGACTCATTTTTGGTAGATTTCTGAATTAAAAAACTTGTAAACATTCAAGCAAATTTTGATTCACTCCACAAATTTGGAAGTTTTATCAAACTTTCCAGTCTCCAAAGATTTTTCACTTCGGGACAGTATAAAGTTCTGTTAAAAGAAATTAAAATTTATATACTGTAAAATGAAATTGAATTCAGTTTCCAGTCTTTAGACGGATTTTGGAGAGTATTAATTTTATTTTTCATAGTCTCGAATTAGAAAATTTTTTCAAAATCCGTCTAAAGGCTATTTTTTAATAGTAATTAAAACATAATTTTTACTTAATAATTTTAATTTTATCGAATTAGCATGCCAAATTCTAATTAACAATCTTATCAAATTCAATTTTACATTTATTAACAGTAATCAATGAAGTTATCAGTTTTGTAAGTTATTAAATAGACGATTCAAGCGAAAATCATTGAGAATATTCTGATGACTGCTAAATAATTCAGTTTTTGATATAAAATACAACAGGATTAAATGAAATTGTAAAAAAATTTATGATTGGAAAATAATTAATTTTCGGAATATACTTAACTGAATAAAAAATTAAAACAATTACGATTAATTAATAATTCAATGAGCAAAGTTATGCATTATAGTTTAATTTTGCAATGAATTCGCTAATTAATAATTCTGTGTAATTCTCGATTTTTCTGTAGTTTACAATAAGTTCCAAAATTGAATAGATAATTTTGCTACTTTCAATAATCTCATTTCTGATAGCACAAATAACATTTGTTTATAACTTAAAAATACTCGTTTTTAATATTCTGTTAATTTTATTAATTATTTGTAGTAATCAAATTCATTCACAACTTGCTTGTCTTGCGGCTGAAGTTTTTAAATACTTGAATTTTACTTAGAAATTATAGAAAGGTACAATAATAACTGTAATTTTTGATGACAGTAAATTGTGCCTACAAAGCACATATATTTAAGCATATGGTTTACGTGTAATAATTCGTTTATTTAAATTAATGAAAACAGTTGTGTCTGCATTTTTCCAAGATTACTTGTATATTCTGAGTTTTTGAAATGATTATTTTCGATTGTTTTCCAGCATTTTTGGTACTTTTAAACCTTAATCAGAATATAATGAGATAAAGCTTTGAATCTTTCCAAGTACTTCAGAAGGACTGCACTTATTTACCTTAAAAAATGCATGAAACTTTTAAGTTTTATCTTTTTGCATTTTAAATTTTGGTTTTTTTCAGTTGTGTGCTATTTCAGTCAATTAGACTTTATGTTAGTATATAAGTCATGTACAGTTTCAAGTAAAAAAGCTCACTTATTAATTTAATATTTTATTATTTTAACTTATTATTTTAACTTTGTAGAAGTTTTCATCTGACAAAAATGTATGCAAATAACTTTTTTGAAAAATGCAGGTGGAAAATTGCTGAATTTTTTTTCTAACAAAAATAAGCGCACTTTGCTCTGATGCTCAGAATATGATTAGCTTGAAAACAATCAAAATACTAATTCAATGCATATTTACTGCAGTAATTATTTTTGAGAAAAATAAAAGACTTCCAAAAATAGAATTTGCACTTGCGAAGGTGGATTTTAATTAACTTCCAAAGATGGAATTTAGAATTCATATTTTCCTTATGTTTCAGATTTAAGTTCAGTAGCAGACCGGTTGTCGTTGAGAGTAACGACTGTTAACAAATCTTGCAGGGTCTTATTATTAATGCAGAAATTTTAAACTTCGCAAAATTGGAGGCAAAGCTTTTGTATTAAATTAACCAATGCATATAATTTAATTAATTATTAAGCTGTAAATTAAAAAAATTCTTCATTTTTTTTGTGCTTTTCGATGTAATTGTTCTAATTAACTTACTTATACTTATAGGGAAAAAAATAGAAACAATACAAAAATATATATAGGGATATATTTGTAATTTATCTTATCGTTGTTGACTTAAAGCATTTATTTTGTCATTTTATATTGAATATTTGCTTGGCTTACAGTGTTAGCAACATCTTACCGCTAACCAAATTGTCCATTCTTAAGTCCATTCTTGTCCATTTTCAATCAAATCACTTCTTGTTGATTGCAAATGTTTACTTTACTTATTTTTCTACGCGTTAAGAAAACAAACTCCAGCTGATTCTGTCAGCAAACAAGTCTATCAGCATGTGGTGCTAGAAAGATTTACTTTTTTGCTTTGCTTCAAAAATATTTCTGCAAAATTGCTTTACTTTGAATTATTTAAAATTAAGTGGTACAAAATACATCTGAATAGTACAAAATTGTAAAGTGACAGAAAGATATAAGAATGCTTGAAATGACAAACAATACAAATATTCAAATAATTTTATTACGCAAAATAATGATTATATAATTTCAAAGTTGGCCTTTTTATGCGCAAACACTTTGACAGTTTCTGTTGACTTTAGGGTAATTTTGTATGACATAAATATTACGTCAAATTACCAAAATTACCTTTCTTTCTGTTACGTGGACAGAAATAATAACTGTCAGGTACAATGACTGCTTGCAGGTGTAAATATTTTGGCAAACTTTGATATTTTCATTAGTCTCAAAAGCAAAAATAAATTAATACAATTATAGTACAGTTCACAAATGTCTGCAATAATAATTCATTATATGTGAAAAATAAGTAATACAAAATTAAAGCATGACAAAATATTCAAAATGACATACAATATAAATGACGAATAAAATAGTTTTTATTGTGCAAAATTATTAGTATATTATAAATTACACGTATGTTTTTTATTTATAAATTTTTTTGGTAATTTTCTGTCAATTTTTGTATACTTTTACGCAATAGAAGAAATTAATAAAACACGTAAACTGGCGTACGCATAAAAACTACAAGACATACTTTCAACGAATTTTGTTTTTGTCACAAGTTATAAGTTAAAAACACAAATAAATATATAATTTACAACCGTCTCAGATATCATTTGCATACAATGCAATATTATCGAGAGAGAAAATAAAACCAAAAAAACCTGATTATAGGTACTAGGCAGGTAAACATCTGCTTCAAGGTGTTGTTTAAGACTGCCAGATTTCCGAACATTTGTCGTTAAATGTTACTGTAAATGTAATTGTATAAAGCTACATTTGTTTTTTACCATTTTTTCAAATTTGCATATTTTTTAGTTTAAAAAATAAGAATTGAGAGCAAAAAATTTATGAAAAATTGCAGCAAATTCGAATCAAAATATTTATATACTACTCAAATTATATGAATAACTTTATAAATTTATAAGAATAAATTTGGATTGAGTTTCAGAATTCAATGTTCTAGAGGGAACATACTGAGCTGAAATTTGATCTGTCTTAAAACTTTGCTAGAATTATTTTTTTTTTTAAAAACAAGAATATTGCCATTTGAAAATATTAATCACTTAAATGCTCAAAATTTTATATGCTTTATTTGCAGTTTACAAATTAATAATTGAAAAATTTAAGTAGAAATGTCATGTAACAAAATAACTTAATAATGCATTTTTACGTATGTTCGACTACTTTATATATTATAAATAATTTAAATATATAGAATAAATGAACATTATACAGCGTCTAAAACAGTGCTAAAACAGTTCAGAAAATAAATTCATACACGTTTAAAGTTATAAAAATACGACAAATAATTAATTAATTAATTAGTCAATTTAGTTAATAGAGATTAGCTAGGTGAATCTTTTAAGCTGAGATAAAGTTTAACAGATTTCTGAAATCTGAAAGGATGTAATCTGTACCTGGAATTATCTATGGCAGGTGGCATATTTTCTACATTTTCACCTCGCAATAACCGATCAACTTCATTCTGAAAACTCTACAGAATTAAACAACTAATGCTAAATTTGCCTCAAATCTCTTGCACAACCTCAATCACAGAATTAATGAGAAATTTTTAATGAAAGATTTAATTTGGACTTTATAATTCAATGACATATTTTAAAAATGAACTTTTATAGCAAAGTGACTTTTTAAATTAATTTAATTTATCCAAAAAAAATTTAATAAAATTTATAATTCCTACCAAATATAACTTTGCTTTTGTTATTTAAATAAAATTACCTGGAGTTTGATGATGTACTCAATGCTTTTATGCAGCAAATCAAGTACAGATGTATTGTCATCCACTGTAGGCACTATTTTACGTAGTTCATCAAGAGCCTTTTCGTGACGTTTTTTTTTCCGCAATCTGCGATAGTAACGGCTATTTTCTCGCAATACCAACATACGCGTAATTCGGAAATAAGACCTTAATTTTTGGTGTCCCGATTTCGTTGGTGAAGACATTGTGGATTTCTTTAAACGATACTTATTAAATTTAGATCTTCTCAATTAATTTAATTAAAAATTTGTAATTAATTTTTAAGACTGTTTCTTGCATGAATTTGAAATTTACATGCTAATACCGATTAAAAATTATTCTGCGTGAATAATTCGACTAAAATTTGTACTAACAGTAGTCAGGTAACGAGAAGTTAATAGCAGAAGTCTCAAAATATCTCGTTATTTTCAAAACGATTTGTTAATAAGCTTACAAAATAATTGGAATATTAATAATTGATATAATAATTGATATTACTATAGCTCAGCTCATAGCTTAGCATACACTTTTAGCTACTAACTTTAGATACTCGAGATTTTTACCAACTTTATCTGCACTTATAGTTTATCAAAATATCTCGTTATTTTCAAAACGATTTGTTAATAAGCTTACAAAATAATTGGAATATTAATAATTGATATTACTATAGCTCAGCTCATAGCTTAGCATACACTTTTAGCTACTAACTTTAGATACTCGAGATTTTTACCAACTTTATCTGCACTTATAGTTTAATTAAGTTATTTAAACTATTTCATGTACTTATATTTTTGCAAGTACATAACAACCATAAGTGTAACTTTTGACAAACCCAAAACCAATGAAAACTTTTATTCATGAATACTGCAAGTATTTACCGAGGTAAAGCAAGGGTACTTAATAATAATATTAGCAACTATATTCTGTGAGAGCAAGTAAAGAAATAATCTTCGGAAACACTGCAACCTCAGCAACACCTGCATCCAAAGTCCTCGTTTCAAACGTGACTACCTACCTTACTTATTTGCTTTTATTTTAGGCTATTACAGGCACTCTCTTATTCTGACATATTACTAAGTAATGTAACTCAAACAACGCTTATGCACCAATAATACTGATTTGAACTCATATCAGCTGACCTTATACCGATTGACCTTATACGAACTGACATTTTTCTAACAATACTATTAACAATTTAGGCCAACTAACTCTATATATTGCAAAATTATGCAACCTTATAGAGATTCTCGACTTCAGACATGAATCTTGTAAGCTTGACAATGTAGTCCTAAAAATGGTACTTTATAGAAGAGTGTGCACTACATGAGTTCAGAATCTCACGTGAATTTAGCGTGTACTGAATTCAACTTGATTGAAAAGTTTCAATGAAGTTTTAAAGGAGAGTGAGTGATAAATAAGTGCTAATATAGTAGAAGAAAAATAAAGGGATAAATATAGTGCAGTGGGTAGATAGTCTACTCAGTAAGTTAGCTACTTCGAAAGTAATATACTATCATGAATAAAAGAATGCTCGGATCGTACTGAGAATCCTAAGCCTAATAAGCAAACTAGCTAGCTAACTTCGAGAAGTGAAGCAAACTCGATGACAGCTGCTCCCTTCAGCTGTTCTCTGAATTGTTCTGCTAGAAGACGTGAAAAAATTGGTGAAATCTGTTTCTGTAGCCCACATGTGCACCTTATTTATCAAGACATAACCATCCTTTAGATTCTCCAATAATATTTTACGATGCGCGCAATCTGCACCGCAGATGCAACTTTAACAAAATATATTATCATTATTTATATCAAAATTATTAATATTATCAGTATTTATCGCTTATTTTTCCGTATTACTAGCTTATTAAAATCGTTATTACTAGTATCATTATTATTTCCTATTATTTGTTATCATTATTACCAGGACTTGTTTTCATTGTACTGATATTTCTAAGTAAGCAAAGATTATGTGCCCTGTTAGTAATATAAATTTAAATTCTTCCATGCTACAGTTTTGATTTTGTATAACATTCATTCTCGAAAACGTTCATTGTAAGCTAAATTTTTGAATTATGAATTACTACTGTAAGAGAAATAGTAATAAATATCTAATAAAAAATACAAAAATTAAAAAAAGAATTACCTTCT